GCCATGGTCGTAGGAAGATCTTGGGGGCGGGGGTGCTCATATTCATATATTCATGTTCGCAGACCGTAAAAACAATCAATTTCAAAAGACGTAAATGATGCAGAACATGAATATATGAATATGAGCTCCCGCCCGCCCCCCCCCCCAATTATCGATCTTTCTACGCCCATGGTCATGCAGACTGAAATATCGAAATTTAATACGTATCCGAGCAGGCTACCCATAACAAAGACAGATAAGTAGTTTATGTTTTGTATTGTATTGTATTCTACTTACTGGGGTTTCTTTCGCTTTAAGAGATTTCACTCCAGTTATAAAGTGAGGTCATCGGGGAAGGTAAAGTATTTCTATTTCCGAAAATCAAATGTAATTCAGGCGCAAAACGTTATATTCTTGACTTGCAAGTAATCTCCTCCTGGTATACACCAGACAATGTTCATTGATAAAATCACAAAATAGACATGACATGATATAGTATCTGCTGTGATAAAATATACTTTTGTGCCATGTCAGGTGGCGGGTGAATGCAAGTCAAGAATAGAGAAAATGTAAAAATTAGCCTAGTTCAACCGTCCAGTCCAGTCCAACTTTCCAGTCCTGTCCAACTGTCCAGTCCAGTCCAAATGTCCAGTCCAGTCCAACTGTCCAGTCCAGTCCAACTGTCCAGTCCAGTCCATGTTTTCTGCTATGCCTCAGCAGCACCGAACGTGCGTTAATGCATGGAGAACGTCAAGTAACGCTTATATTTAAGCACTTGATTTAAGTAGTGATAATTAACGAGTGCCGCTCATACCAATGTAACTTGGGATCTGGAATGACCCAGAACCTCCGTAAAAAGCTGAAGATTGCACACGCGCGCACACTCCTTAATAACCATAAATAACGAAAGGAATGTATGGCAAATAGAGCAAGGACGTCAACGAAAATGTGCTCTCGCCAAGAGAATTTTCCTTCCAAATTCAATAGGCTATACATGGAAAATTAAACTCCCTTTAGCATTCGAAACACCATTGTTTAAAATTTGCATTCCATAAATCACGATCAGTCGACCATTAACGTTTGTTTCGATTAAATGGAAAATAATACAAAATTAATTAAAATAATATACGAAAAATTGAGCAAATTAATTGTTGTAATTTGTCGTTACTTGCCGAAGGAAGAGGCAAAGGTCAGGGACGTGCTTGGCGTCTTAAAAACTGGCTCAATATTAATATCTTTTTCGAAAAATTGCTGGCGAGCGTGGGGAGTCGCCAATTTTTTCGGACATACAAAAATTTTCCGGGCATATCGTAATTTTTTCCGGGCATTTCGTACATTTTCCCGTCCCATGCATATACTGGAAAATGTTTCGGTAATATTTTCGTAAATTTTGATTTTTACAATATAAATTGTAATATTTTAATCTTGATTTTGAAGATTAAAATCTATATTTCTTAACTTTCCCAATGTTTTAATTTTAGGGATCCATGATGACAGGGGCCCACAAGGAGCCGTTTTCGTTGGCTCGTCCCTAGCCAGCACGTCCCTGGCACTGAGATTGATCAGTTCGAATCACTGCCAAATTACGATATTTTGCAATAACCGAGTTGAATAATTGTCCGCCTGTTCTTATTTCATATAAGAAAAAGCTCAACAAGTAATATGAGTCGTTATTCTTTTTTCCATTGCTTTTCTCCACGTAAAATTAGTTCAGTCCACGTTGTTGAGCTACAACCGACGTTTTATATCGCAACTATAAGATTTGCTAACTAACGAAACAACTTTTTTTACAATTTCGGCTTCATTTTAACTCAATTAACCAAGCCGTGCATGCTGCCACGGGCCTCCCAAACAATGGAAAAAACGACGAGGAGTCACTTATGAATATTCAGAATGAAACCACCCCTCGGGATTTTGCAAACCAAATTTCCCCCTATCATGATACAGGCCACATTGCTACAGAGGCTTAATTATAGCTTCCACATGCAGTGGGCACAGGTCCCAACCTGGAAAGGAGTTCTACACAAAAGTCAAACGTTTAACAGAATCGATATCTTGTTGATTTTCGGTAACACCTAAAATAAACGCATTGGACCCTGTTAACCCAATGTTCACTCTCCGCCCTCCACTCTTGTGATATGATTGAAGCAATTTTAGCGCCGGCCACCAATATCGGTATGTATGTCTACCATCCAACACTGAAATATCCCTGAGTTTTTTCACTATTTTGATTCACAACCGCCAGTAAAATAATGCACCCACATTAACTCAACATTCAGTATTAACAAAATAGCAAAACAAATTTATAAAATATTAACATTGCCATGTAACATTATTCGCAAATTGTCGTACGTTGAAAATCTTTACACGAATTCGATGTCAAATTGTCAAGTACAACAACAACCGACTCTCGCTTTGTAATAGTCTATTTTAGATAGAGGAAAATTTTGCTAATAAATGTTTAAATATACTTTTGTTTACCTTAAAAAATGTCCACACAATTAAAATTGTTTTAGTTTTTGTGCTTTGTGATTGGACATTTGACACCAACAGGTCAAGTTTTCTGTTGTCAGGCAAACCTTCGTTCGCTGTTTTTGTTAACTTGTATGTTGTTTAAAATAATATACATAAAAATATTACTCGACTGTGATTGGTTGATTTCAGTGCACTTAATCCCAAACAGCAATGCAACTTTTTTGTAATTACAGTGCAATTTTCTGTAATCACAGTGGAAAAATCTGTAACAAACTGATATCATTGGTGGAAAAACATTGTGACGATAAAATCAACGAACTAGTTTAAAGCAATATAGTTTAAACAAGTAACGGTCACAGATTGCTTCAAAATAAATTAAACAAACATGGCACTGCACTACATAAAGTAAAGGTTGACTTCGGTTGGAAATATGGCTTTTATCTTTATTTTTAAATGGAAAAGCATTTATACTTTAATAAACGAGTACAGCAAAAAATACATGCAAAGTTGAGTGGAATTTTCATGCTGTTAATAGCATAGTTACCCGTTGTATAATGTGATATAACAAAGCCAGGAAAACTTTGCCAGTGGAATGTTCGCTATAAATGCGTAAGTTAAAACTACAACTGTCTAAAACATTTTTATGTAAATGATTAATAAGTAATAGCATGATGCTTGTGATGTTACTCTGAGTGTATATCCACACCGGGCAGGCTTGAAAAATATGCCCGACCACGGTGGGAATCGAATCTACGACCTTTGGAATACCAGCAGAATTAATACCCTGCCAACTGAGCTACGCGGTCAGGTCGGTTCGAGTATGAGATATTTTGGAACCGAGTCTAGTTCCTTCGATATCAGTGTAATCTAATAATCATGAATATTTCTGTGTTGGTGCAGTGTGCTCAGGTGAATATGATGCTTGTCATGTTACTCTGAGTGTATATCCACAACGGGCAGGCTTGAATAATATGCCCGACCACGGTGGAAATCGAAGCTAAGACCTTTGGAATACTAGCCCAATGCTTTGCCAACTGAGCAAATATCCACACCGGGCAGGCTTGAAAAATATGCTCGACCACGAAATACCAACTGGTATTCCAAAGGTCGTAGGTTCGATTCCCATACTTTTCAAACCTGCCCGGTATATGATATACTGACTCAGAGTAACATCACAAGCATCATATTCACCTGAGTACACTACACCAACACAGAAAAATTCATGATTATTAGATTACATTGATATCAAAGGAACTAGTCGGTTCCGAAATATCTCATACTCGAACCGACCTGACCGCGTAGCTCAGTTGGCAGAGCATTTGGTTGGTATTCCAAATGTCGTAGGTTCGATTCCCAGCGTGGTCGGGCGCATATCTTTCAAGCCTGCTCGATGTGGATATATACACTCAGAGTAACATCACAAGCATCATACTCACCTGAGTACACTACACCAGCACAGAAAAATCATGATTATTAGATTACATTGATAACGAAGGAACTAAACTCGGTTCCGAAATATAACCGACCTGCATGACCGCGTAGCTCAGCATAACGGCACAAGCATCATATTCACCTGAGTACACTACACCAACACAGAAAAATTCAAGAAAAATTCGCAAGTTTTTCAAAGACCTCAAATAGCACTCGTTCTTCGGACTTGTGCTATTTTGAGGTCTTTGAAAAACTCACTCGTGCATGTGATATCCAAATTGCATTCGAAATCATGCTATTACCTATATATACTGATATAATATTAACTTGACGAGTTAAAATGTTTTAATTGTTCAAATTTCGTATTTCACTGTAATTATTTTATAAAACAATTTACTCCTGACCAGGTTTAATGACATGATTGCGACTCAGCTTAATTCCCTCAACGTCATTACGGAGTTGACCTGTAACTCTAGAATTTTTAATTCAAAGTTTTTCAAGCCTATATTTTTACATTTTGTTTTGGAGCTAGCTCCTTTAAAAAGTTTAACTTGGTGACCACTAACCATGTTTAAAGTATATGAATTCCATTTAATGCAAATCATGTTACCGCTGCTTTGATAGTAGAATTGCTAAAAATGCTCCAATAATTCCTAAAAATGGTCCAATAATTCCAAAACGGATTCTGCATGCAGAATGAAACAATATAGCAGGCCCAAAACCACATGACCTTATTAAAACAGGCGCACAGTTTTTTTTTCCACTCCCATCCCCATCCCCCAAAGAGATTTTGTGGATTTTCACATAAATGATATGTTAAGCTACTCACGGACCAGTTTCGGTACCGCCGTGACGCAAATTCTCATGCGAAGAATTTCGAAAATTTGAAATTTGTGCGCCTCGCTTTTTTTATGAGAAATTGATTTAGCGGCTGTTGAAAATCGAAATTGCATTCGTTGAACGCGGACACCTGCACGCAGACAAGTTAATAAAGTGCGACCGTACAGGCATTTAGGCAGTTAAACGTTTCACTAGTAGGCTAACTAGTTGACAGCCCACACTGATCAAAGGAACTGACAGGAAATCTTTGCAAAGTGCATAATGAAGAGCAAACGCCCGTTTTGATATAAGACAGAGAGTGGATTAATTTTAAACCTGAACTGAACCGGCAACTGCCTATTTTAAATTTGCGAAACGCCGTTCCTTCTTTAATTGTCGTAGGAACTCACATATATTAACGCATCACAATCGGTGTATAAATCTATATTCATATAATTTGTTGTGTGTAATTACATTTATTCACAGCGCATGTTATCTTTGCTCTTATCTAATAAGCACATCTATACAAAAGAGTAAACAGAATAACAGATTATCGGTTGGGAGTAATATTATTAGCAATGTCAAAGTTTGCGCGGTAGCGTTTATATAACAGCGCGTTTTAGCGATAACGCTTTTGTTCTAGTATATAGATTATATACACAAATTGTGTTAAATCATTGTCATTGACTTAACGGTTGATGATGCCAGGATTTATCTTTAAAGTTCAGTTGAACACAATGTTGTTGATTGCAGGGGTCTGTTTAATAACGTTGTCAGGCCACGATCAGAGCTGGTTGTGAATGACTTTGGCCGCGATTTCTGTGGTTCAACAGGCAATGTTTGAAATGAAATATCAGGCGCGCTGTTTCGCTTACGGCTTCCAACTCGACGAATCTTTGCCATTTCCCCGCGGTCTATCATTCCTTGATCAACGACACCAAGCACATTAAGTTCAACTTCAAGTGGTAGCATTAATGAAATACAATTATCAACACACGGGACCCTTTGCCTTGCATTCGAATTACACTGCGCGCAAGCCTTGGACATTTTATACGTCTTTTCTTCGCTTTCCGTTTTGAACGTTACAGTTTTTACAGTTTTCTCATTTCTTGATTTTGTTTGAAAAATACTTTGCTCTTCAAAGACATGTGTAATTTCAATGGCTGGAACTCGGTAACATTGTTTTTGGATTCTGATTGATGACGGAATTCCTTGAATAACAGAGCAAGTATATGCAACTTCCATTGATCCGTTTGCCATCTGTTCTTCACGGTCTCTTCATACAACTTGTTAACGCATCTTACAGTAGACAAGATATATTTAACGCTCTTTCTCGTGCGGTATTAGCTATCATGCGCTGTGACGTGGGTTTCTGTTTACAACAGGAGTGTTGCCAGCTCTCAGAGCTCTGACGCATGTGGGTTATAAATAAGCTTATATGACCCCAGGTCATTGCGCAAAATGGGAAATAGCGTGATTATATATGCATTTTGTCACCAAGGTAATTAATCAGAAATTTAATTTGCTGTAATAATATTTGTGGCTATGACCGCTTGTAATTTGGTATCTTATTTTTAGGAAAATTCAAGGATTTAAATATAGTATATGGTTTAGTGCTCTGTGTTCTTAGCTATACATGAGGAATACTGTGTTATGAAACTTTAGTGTCTTATTCGACGTTGTATATTGCATGTACAAATATTTAAATGCGTTTGGTACATATTCGGCGGTGGCCTCTGGCACTTAATTAGAAAGTACGGACAGAATATACTAGAGTACTAGACATGTCATGGGAAGCAAAAATGTTGAATTCATAATTTCCTTTGGCAAAACTAACGAAAAAATACACGTACCTTTGCTATGTGATTTGCGTACTAATTATCAAAAGTTTTATATGACATTAAATTTTTTAAAATGATAAAATATTCCCATATAAACGGTTACGAAGCAATTTTTTTTATTAATGTCGCTTATGTGCGATGAAAAGTGTTCAAAACAGATATATGTTATATTATGGCGTTCCTCTCAAAATGGCCTTGTTTTAGCTTTATTTTGTAGTTTACACAATTAGCAACGTTAAATATTTAATAAGTGTACCTGGCGGTTGCGAAACACAAAATAATAGTAAAAAAATATCAATTAAAATTCAATTATCAATGAAGCTTTAAAAGTGACGTACGCCATATTTACGCAATTATATAAGCAAAACTTACTGAATTTTAGACATAATTCCCAGTTTGGCTTTGGCGTCCATTTGAACTGGCCTGAAGTGAGAATATCTTTTAATTCGATTATCACCTAGATTGATTGTATAGGTTCGTTCAATTGTGACTACCCATTAGGCCATTACATTAATATTATTCAAAATATTGACCTTCGATCTATGTCGGACTGCTTTCAATGATAAATCGCTTAAAAAGCGAATACGTATTTTACTCGAGGTTGAAAATTCAATCAATTTCTTCTGGCGGAAATTTTTATTTTTTAAACGACTATATAGTGACAGTATTGGACTTTCTTGAGTCTTATAGAAATTGATTTTTCGAAGCTTCGGAAGCGCAGTCATCAGAGCAAGTGTCATGTCAACGCTTTGTCGAAAGTCAACGGGCTTTCGACTGACACTCTGGTTTCCTCCCACAGCGAAAGTTGACAGAGTGGGTTAGCATAAACATAATTAGGACAGTAATATCACAATTGTTAATTGTAAAGATAAAGATAGTTATAATAGTATACGCGTAATACTAGATGTAATCTGTCGCTGAAAAGCACCGATGGGCCGCGAGGTAAATCGAATAGCGATAATAATAATAATAATAATAATAATGTGCATAAAAACGTTACTCGACTGTGATTGGTTGATTTCAGTTCAGTTAATCTCAAAGCGCAGCGAAAATCTGTAACAAAAATGCACACTTCTGTAACAACAGGCAAGTGAAAGTAAAACAAATATGACTTTGATTTATCTTTTTCTTGAATAGAAAAGATTAAACAAGACCAACAAAACTTTTTGTGATACCAAGACTAACTATTAAACGTTAAATTTTTAATAATGTGATATAACAAACAGGAAAACTTTGTCAGTGGACGTACGTGGTTTTTCAGGAGCCGGCGCGTCGATCGGAACCTTTAATCGGCTGCTACGAGTAAACAACGTTGCCAAAGGTTCGGGTTAGAAAATCCTGTAATCCCATTGGTGATTGTGTAAAGCGTAGAAAATGTTTAATTGAGCATGACATATGACAATCATATAGGCGTACGTACGGCATCAAAATATTAGGGGGCGGACAAAATGATGATGGAAATTTCACGATATTGCCTTGCCCATGGGTATATTACGTATATGATAGATGAATAGATTATGGCATACTTCGAAACCCGGACCGGACTCGGACTCGGACCCGGACTCGGACTCGAAGAAAATCCGGACTCGAGAAAAACCCGGACCCGGACTCGAAGAAAATCCGGACTCGTGTTTAACAAAACCCGGACTTGACTTTTGAAAACCCGGACTCGAAATAAGGCAAAACCGGATTCAAATCAAGGACTCTGTGTACGAAAATGCAAAGGTTTTTTGGAAAGGTTTAATAATTAGTAACATGATAAACGATGATCTCTTATATCTTTATCTCGATATTTTTAATCTTCTGCTGTTAACAAAATAATCACTTAGATATACTGGAACCAAATCATTTAGGCACTTATAAGTTATTAAAAACTAAAATGTATTGATGCACAACGATCTACAATTAGTAAGCTAGTACGAGGGTAGCATGTTGATTGTTGATTCTCAAAATAACGTTAACTTGATTTATTGTCAAACTTCATTGTCAGTATCGAGCCGCGGTTGTATGCAAGGCATATGGGGCAATCGACGAACGCATTGCCTAACGAGAGAGTCTCAATATCAAATTTACGCCAACCATCCAACGCGAATTTCACTGTCGGCCGCGGGTGCAGGCTTGCAGCTGTTGCTTTCATTGTGATGTGTTTTCTACTACTTTCGGATAAAGAATAATTGCGGGTGTTCAATTCGTGTTTATGGACTTTATATTAACGAAATAGAGAAAATAAACGTGTTTCCAGTAGCGTCTTGTCCAACTATTTGAGAGCATGTTATAATATCAAATTGATGTCCATCCGCACAACAACGCTCGAAGTGCTCGAATTACTTCACAGTCGGGATTTAGGGCGCGGTTGCCGCGATACCTTCATTGCCTTCAACATGAGATGTGCTTTTCCGGCGTTCTTTTCGATTGGTTGAAGTTATACTTTTGATTGGTTGAAGTCTAGTTATTTTTCGTGTCATTTTGCCGATGGCGAGGTCGAATATGTTGAGGATATATTTTACCCTTGCCGCCATCGATCACGTTGAGTCTGCTATGCTGAGTCAGATTTCAGTTATTAATTTATGTCTAGAGTAGATTTAGCTACTCGCAGGAGTATGTATTTTACAAATATGTTGTGTATGGTCAGCGTGGTTAAATAAATTTTTAAATTAAGTAAGTAAGCAAGTATATGTATAAGGCTAAATGATTTGTTTAGGTAGGCTATATAGTGATTGTTTTGTGAGGAACCATATAGTATGATAACTGATTAGTATCCTCAGATAACGCATAACACTGAGTCACTAGAAGAAAAAAATATCTATATCTTTCGAAACCAAAGCTTATTGCTTTTGAAATAAAGTATTTTATTATATACAAAAGAGAGAAGAGAAAGGGGCACCCGCGCAAGAGCACAAATCCATTTATCCGCGAGTTATTACCGATAAAACCTTTGCATTCTCGTGCACAGAGTCCTTGTTTTGAATCCGGTTTTGTCTATTTCGAGTCCGGGTTTTCAGAAGTCAAGTCCGGGTTTTGTTAAACACGAGTCCGGATTTTCATCGAGTCCGGGTCCGGGTTTTTCTCGAGTCCGGATTTTCTTCGAGTCCGAGTCCGGGTCCGAGTCCGAGTCCGGTCCGGGTTTCGAAGTATGCCATAGATTATAGGTTTTAAATTATGATTCACTATACAAATCTGTCATTCAGTGTCTCTGACTAAACTTTAGTATTAGCATAGTTAATAGAATAGATGGTTTGGAAACTCATTAGAAAAACAATATAACTCATTATCCATGTTAGTCAACGTTTATTCATAAATCTGGTCCTTCACCGTCACGTGTGTTTTGTATTTTTCCCAAATCCACCAATTACAACTATTTCCAATTTACCCTATTGTTCGAGTCACGGATAGCTAACTTTCCTAAGACATTGCTATCGGTTTGTTGGTTAAAAATACAATACGCACGTTATGGTGAACGACCAGATTTATGAATAAACGTTGACTAACATAGATAATGAGTTATATTGTTATTCTAATGAGTTTCCAAACCATCTATTCTATTAACTATGGTATTAGTATCTCCAGTGGTCACGTCAGAGCGAGCAGCTTTCACTTTCTGGCTTCTGTCTCAGGATGTTTCAGTTTTCTCCTACGGGAAAAGTTGAAATTAAGGGTGGGTTAGGATAATTAACACAGTTGAGAAAGTAACATAATACAATATTGTTGTAAAAATAGCTAGAATAATCTATAATATAGATTAGAAGCACATTATGTAATTAGGTAAGCGTATAATACTTAATCTTAATAATAATGACAAAATGCATTATACCGAGGCTGGCAAGCCCAGCCAATGCCCGATTTTTAAGTAAACCTCCTCCCGCCACACACGGCAGCCCTCGAGCTCTCGTATAAATCTATGATAAGGATAATGAACCGATAAAGTGTGTAGTAGTGACAAACGCAGTATCTCTGAATAAAGCGTATACATACATGAGTTGAAAGAGTTCATTAATTTCACCTTTCATGTAAATACATTATTTACAGAAGGTATACTAACATTGATGGTTTGGCAAATGCGTTAGTCGATCACAAGAGGAGGCAATTAACTAATTTCTTGGAAAAATAATTTGGCCGCTCTAGATTGGAAATTCTACGCCATGTTTAAAACGGAAGCTTATAGGTGTTAAAGATTTAACAAGGATTTATTCTCTGTCATGTTGACTGTGGTTTGGCAAGGACCGTGAATTAATATAAGCAGGAGCACGAGTCCCACGTGCGGGGGAAGAATTGATTCCTCTATTACTTTAATCTCGTTTTACACTAAGTCTAAGAGCATTAATCCAATATTCATTGTTCCTTTTTGCGAGCTAAAGCCTCTTATCACATCATGTTACAGCATGAAGCAGCCAGATTGGAAATAAGTAGTTGTCAAACAATTACAAATATTTCACATATGATTTCACGTGGGAAAATATCGTGAAAGAAATCACCTTTTCAAATATTTTTTTCAATTCGACATACAGTATGAATAATAATTTCTCGTGCGGAATTCATTTTCTCATCAATAAAACCTTTACCCTCACGCACTTGTCAAACAGTATCCGTATCGATAGCCTATGTCAAACTCAAATTTCATACGATATAATTTTTTAATGTCCTATACGTACTGCAATACAAAGCTTGCCAATCTGATAGTTAATTTCATTAATAGTCTTTGTAAAATAGATTATTTGTTTTCTTCATTGAAACATCAAGATATTTTTGCTGAAAAAAGGGCTTTCCTAGACAAAACAATTATAAATCACTCTGTAGTTGCAAACATAGTTACGATGTTTTGACAATTTGTGAAACCCATAGATAGGCTATCTTGTGATTTTTATGCATGTATCTATATACTGAATAACAAAACTGGTATTTATGTTGATTAAATATTATTATTGATTTGAAATTTATGAAAGTAGTAAAAATTCTGAATTTCACATGTGGAACGTGCGTATTTCAACATGTTTTAATTTCACGTGTAAAATAATAATTTTCATATATAAAGATTGATTACTTCGACACTCTTTGTGGTATGTTGGTGATTGAGTTCGATCATGCAGTTTTACAGTATGTATGAGTTTTGTGATAGCCATGCAGTGTCGCAGATGCCGAGTTGTCTGTTCAGTTATTGATAAACAGTATGACGTCATAATCAGTGAGAAGAACAAACTAAGTGAGCCGCCGAGGCCAGTGGGTCACTTGTTCTTCCCACATAATGATGTCATTCTCTGTATATATAACTGAACAGACAACGGCAATATATTATCTATATACTAGGAGTTACTATCGCAAGGAAAGTGCTGCCTTTTTTGCCACATGAACTGAATGCAAAATCACTCTAAAGGGGAGTTTACTTTTGACCCAATGAACTTATTCTTAAATTGCGTGCACGGAACATGAGTAAATAACCAACATGAAAAAGTTGCCATTGGGTCAAAAGTGGATAAACGGCATACCCATTAGCTGATAATGCACCCCACTTTAGTATTAACTCTGTCTAACGCCAGACAAATTTACACTCTGTAACGCCAGACGATTTTACTTGTCCGTTGTAGTGTACTGTCAGTATCTGCGAATGTCTCTTATTAACCGCCATTGGCTGGCAATGCGCCATACTTTAGTAGTTACTGCCTATCGACTACCTGTAGGAAGCAATTTTGTATTGGGGGAGCTGATTAGTCAGGGGCGATTATTAGGAAATTATATCCCTCTCAAACTTCACAGATTATCGCTAGTTTACAAATTATTTCTTGGGGGGCGGGCCTGAAGACCCCCGGTTGCTACGGCCCTGCTATCAACGCCAGACAGTTTTACTCGTCAGTGCCAGTAAACGGCTTAATTTCTCGTCGTTGTTGTTTCTAATTGTAGATATCTCAGCAAGTATTCCCCCCGCCTTTAAAACGAAAAGCACCATTGTAATTCTGACAAATTAGCCTTTTCACCGTACGGGGTGTCAGATGCCTTCAAAACATTACACAAACCAAAACATCCAGTATTTACGAGAAATAAACTTGAATATCTTCTAGACTCTTCAGAATTTGCTCAGAGTCAATCAGGGACGTTGTACGTTGTGGGCCCCTAAATTAAAAACATTGCAAAAGATAAAAAATATAGATTTTAATTCTGAAAATCAAGATTAAGATATTACAATTTATATTTAAAAAATCTAAATTTACGAAAACATTACTGAAATGTTTCATATTTGATCAGTAATAACCCCCGCCCCAATCTTGATCCATCCCGTCACTGGGCCTGCCTCATCAGATGTATTAAAGCGCTTTCGTGTAGGAAGTTTCGTTTGAATATGGCGAGTAGAAATATTTATTTTGAATTTTTCAAAATATCGGGTTTTTGCTCGCACGCGCGCGCCACGTGTATACTTGGCCATATATAGCCCGATGCACGTGCAAACTATGCCACTGGGGGTACTTTGACCTGTAGAATCGATTTTCGGATTTTCCAAACCCCTAGGATATAAATAGCTGTTTTGACTTTTGATGTACGTTTCACGGGCCGCGCTAAAAATATATATATTCTGTTTTAATAAAATACCGAAATAAAAGATGAAAATCTGAAGACACAAGCTTGAAAATAACACTGTGAATAGTGTTTTGGATTCTGGTTCGAATGAGACTATTACGAAAAGGATATGTCCAAAGGGGCCAAAGTTATGTTCGGCGAAATGTATGGCTAGTTTACATTGTTCGTTTATATATAATGAAATATGATACCATACCTTACTTGTTAAAATTCGCGTCGTACTATTATTGTATTAATATTAGGCAAACGAGAACCAATACCAGGCAATAAGTGTTTTAGTTCTTGTTATTTTAAACGCACGCTTTATCTTTACTACCACAACGTTTTTCGCGCGGATTATATTTCGTGCAGTGCTAAAATTTGCTCACCCAGCGCTGCGCGAATTCTAGTACTGCGCGAATTTTAATACTGTAAGACATATTGTGCCATTGTGGACATTTGACTAATGTCAAAATAAAATTATAATAACAAACATTACTCGACTTTGAACAAACAATAGTTTATAAATTCTTAAAGTCTTTCATATACATAGTAGCCAGCGATTTGTAGTAGGTAGCCATAAAGTAGGTAGCTGGTAGCATGAACCCAGGCTGTTACCCTCGATATTCGCAACTTTATTAAACCGGTTCATCACATCGATAAATAAACACTGAGTATATGAACTAAACTTACAGATATTATTATTTTATGTACTGAAAATTTCGGGTGAAACACTTAAAAAACACATATTTGAGTAGCCTCTCGCATCATTGAAGAAAATTTTGTTGAACAACCCCCTCATTTTACAAACCAACTTGAATACTTAATGAGCCTCCTGGAATGCCGAAATCTCCACCGAGTGAAAATCGCTATTCGACTATGCATAACTCGGCCGCGGGGACTGGACACGAAAAAGCAAGAACGTCATGTAACGTCAAGAATAGTGTGCTGCCGAGCTGAGGCTCGGCAGCAATTAGTCTTATATCCAGGTGATCTCGAGTTCGTATTTTAGCCAATCAGCGCTCAGAAAGGGTTGTCCGAATAGAAATCCATTTTGATGTATTCAGTCAATTATATCTTTCGTTATTCTTTATGAAACTAGTTGAAATTTTGTAATTATGTTTGGTTATGAGAACTATAGCTCTGACCAAAATATGGAATCGAAATAAAGTATATTACAGGAGATATTCCGTTGTTTTAATCATAAAATGGATTTCTATTTGACAACTAGTGCCAGTACTTTTCCGCGTATCAAGATCATCTGGATAGTAAAAAGAAAACGCCAACTAAGCAGGTAATTAAACAGCTTACTTTTTATCCACCCAAACATTGTGAAATTTGAAAAAGTCTTCATTTTACAAATATCATGTGCACGTGATATATACAAATAAGGGAATGCTATATCCTTAATTGTGACGTATGTCCCTTGCGTCTGTCCTCCAATAGATCGTGGCTCTCGACCAATGAAAGCGCTCGGTATTCTTATCGTTATCATGTAATTAGCGTTCCTTCACAACGAGTAAATGAAAACCATAGATATAGGAGATCTAGATTGCTAACGCATACCTAGCGCAGGCGGGGCCTACATGATTAATCCAAGATGGCGGTACAACAGGGCAAAAAGACTATAGATTCTATTACGAAAATCAGGATTTTTGCATTTTTTGCCATCGCATTGTTTCGAAACTTATTCGGTCAAATTTTATGGTAAAGAGAAACTTACTGCGAAGATTTTGAGCATATATATGATTGAATTGGATGAAAAATCGCAAAATTATCCATCGATAAAAGTTCGTGTATAGTACTGATATAGTACTATATATGTAACTTGTACAGTTTTGCTTTAATTTTTGCTCACTATTTGCATAAAAAGCAAATTATAACAGACCATAGATGATAGACCCTCATCCAGTGCTCTCATCAGTTTACTTCTCTAACAAGCAAGGGGGGGGGGGTACATAACAGTTCATTTTTCACAATTATGAGGACAGAGCAGATGATGATGAGAGATGCAAGTATAAAACACCATTCACGAGGCTAGATGTTAACATAGCACAGTATTTCTGGCAATAAAACGCTCCAACTGACCATTTCACACGAACTTTTATCGCTGGATAATTTTGCGATTTTTCATCCAATTTAGTCATATATATGCTCAAAATCTTCGCGATAAGTTTTTCTTTACCATAAAATTTGACCGAATAAGTTTCGAAACAATGCGACGGCAAAAAATGCAAAAATCCCGATTTTCGTAATAGAATCTATAGTCTTTTTGCCCTGTTGTACCGCCATCTTGGATTTATCATGTAGGCCCCGCCTGCGCTAGGTATGCGTTAGCAATCTAGATCTCCTATATCTATGAATAAAACCAACCATGGAATAATTTGTTTATTTTATATAATAATAGTAACATTATAAATACAGTTAAAAACTGAATACTTCATGAGGGAAATGCAAAGGAAATCACTACCGTGTCGGTGGCAGTCTATATGTGATAAAAAATGCGCTCTCGTGTTTTATATCTGATAAAGCACTCCTGCTTGTGAATAATACATATTTGACACTTTGATAATAATCTCACAGCGAACTGCGAACAACATACAACCTGACACCGTACTACAGTGCAGTGCCCGGGGACATGTGTAAAACAACACGTTTGCGGCGTAAACAAGTTCACTGCAAGCTCGAAGACATACAATGTTTGAAAACTACCAAAGGATTATGATTCCAAACAAATTATAACAGACTAACAGACTCACGCACCGAGTACAAAGCAATACCTAACTACGCATTTGGGCACGGTTTAACTTCGTTTGCAATTGCTGTGCCCAGGGCTCGAAATAGTACGGGATGCCGCTAGACATATTTGAGAAGTGGCAGGCGAAAATAATTTTGAACTGCTGCCAAGTCAAAAATAATATGGCTGGCAATTGAAATTGCAAAGATTGATTCACTTTATTTGGTCACGGTACGACATACTATTAATAGCAAACGTTTAAAAGGAACGAGTAGGCGGCAAAATACATAGTGCATGGGCATAATGAAATGATTGAAGTACATGGAGAAAATTAATATAGCTGAGTTGGGACCATCTGTTTTTATTTATGAAATGCCTACTATAAAAGAATTAAACCGTTTTTCAGGCCGTATTTCATTCTACTTCAAATTCTGACCTAGCCTTAAAGCAGTATAATGCTTTATTTTCTGGGCCCAAATAACACAGTACACTAATTGATACGACATGTATGGCGCTCGGGAATATAAATCCATCCTGTTTTGTCAGTCGCAATTCATAGTCAAGATTTCTGAAACGCGCATAAATTCAATGCCGTGACAAGCGAATCCGGTATGTGTAACTGGGCCCTAGCTTGATTTTCTAATTGTTGTCAGGTGGCTAATTATCTTTAATTTTTCCTTTTCCTTGCAAATATTGTAAATAGAGAGCTTGAGCTTCGCGTTCAACCGGCAAGTGACAAACGTCCAGCACAGGAAAAATTCACGCTATAAAGCAATAAAAAGTAAATGGGCTTGTTGTTTTATAAGTAGAATACTAAACTATTCCTGTGTCATGTGAAAGAAAATATGACATGCAGAAATCGAACGAAAATTACGCCAAGAAAAAACGGTCAGTTGCCGTTCCCGCAAACTTGAAGCTTAAACTGCCTAATAATTCAAATCTAGTGTCACGGCGCCTGACCATGTCCATGGAGAGCATCATCTCAATTTGGATGACAGGCCTCCGTGCTTAACTAAAGTTCACTACTTCACTATCAATATTAGCACCTCGATTCACACAATAAATTGACAAAAGAACGAAGCTTTTCTCAAACCTTCAACTGGTAATTAATTAGCAACTTTCAATCTTTAACTGGTGCCACTTTTACTTGACGTGTGCTCAATTAAACTCACGAAAAGGAACAATTAAGCCATGATACATTTTGCCCCTCCGTATGACTGGACGACTGGTTGATCGATAAAAATTGAACATTGCAAGCACAATGTTCATTGCGGATCACAATTCCGTACACAATATTTCTTTACCATTTATAACATATCAGCGCCGTAATGACAGTCGAATTATAAACGCTGATGCGATAAAGTTCACCGAAAATATCATCAACAGTGAGGATACGATTTATATTTTATTATCTACCGTTCTTGACGTCGAAGCCGGTACCTTATAAAAAAGAAAATGCTTCGAATGCGCTCATAAAATTTTCAGTTATCGTGAACATTTAATATTTTTAATTATAGGCTTGTGCAAGACGAAGTACATGCATTGAGTTAAATTAATTAACCTAAAATCTATTTGTTTACTACGCAATATACGCTATAGAACTACAATAACTTGCTCAAAGCGAGATTCCAGAAAATGTACCCCCCCCCCCCTTGCATATATCCCCTTGCATGGTTGCGTTGTGTCAAAGGAGAGAGAAATCTGTTGTTTGTAAGCTAGCAGCGCAACCCGATTTGTCAGCTCATTTATGTTGAAAGATTTACGAAATTACGTTGTAGATTACGACTAGCTTCCATTCAGCCATTGAGATGCTTGCATGGGGAGCTGCGTGGCAGTGTTATGACCTCATTGAACTGCAGTATATATAGCGTTATATCTTGACTTTATAGTCCAGCTATAAAGCGCGTAAATTCTGGAAGCGTAGCATATCTTAAAAGCATATATAAATAGAATCGATTTAATCAATCAGGCAAATAAATCACGAGTTTCCATATATAATACATATTCCTTCCAGTCGTTCGTTATACGTAATATCTACTTATGATAATTTTATATTTAGTCTTTATCAGTGTAAAAAGCGGAAATTATAGAAACTAACCAAACAAGATCACGTCAAAAGTGTTCCTAAAATAAATCTTAAACTGTCTTTTGGTCTTTCAAGAACAATCTCTGAAGTGCTTGTTATGCCGCGCTATCTTTCAGATCATTAGCATATTGTGCGGCGATCATATACGTTACTTTTGATATAGTACTTTTTTCGCACACGTTCGACAAGTAGCAGCTGATTAGAAAACGTCAACTTAAATCATGTGCCATCTATCGATGTTTTCAAAAATGTTTTATAATATTTGCTCATAGTTCTATTTATGATGCAGGAAGTTACTTTTAGCAATTAATTTCAGTTAAAGGAGCAGTGTCACCGCGTGCGCATCTTTTCTGCGCATAACAAAACATGTTCGGAAATTGTCGGAAAAGCGCTCGGAACTATACGCCGCCAGTTATAACAATGAAATGTTTTGCTTGCATAGAGATGACGCACATTGCGAAAGATAGTTTTAATACTATTGTCTTATAGTAAACTATAATTTTGAATTGTCAACCTGATACTCAGGGTTTCGGGGGGTAGCGGAAGAGAAAACTGGCTTGAGTATCAGGTTGTTATTTTGTTACTCAATTATATTTGGGGCAAAATATTGCAATATAAAATCGCTTTCACTGAACTTCCTCCTAAAATATATTTCACAGTTGTGCCAACAGTCATGTCCACTAAACGTTTTCGGACTTTATCATTTAACCCATTGAGTCGCATTGCGCCCTGATGCCCCCTACTTTAGTATTTTACTCTGTATAGCTAACCCCAGATTATTTTACCCTGTCTAACGCCAGACCATTTTACTTGTCAGGGGAGAGCGCTGGCACTTAATTGGTTAACTGATTCGCATTGCGCCCGACTTAATTATTTTACTCTGTTATCTTATAAACCTATATAAGTTAAAATAATATACACTTAATGTCTGCTCCCGAGGGAAATAGTTAGTTTTGTTTTCCCGAGACGAAGTCGAGGGAAACATTAAGAGTCCAGGGAAAACAAAACTAACTATTTCCCGAGGGAACGGGCATTAATTGTTTTGTTATATAGCGACGAACAAAAATCAACTTCAACAACATTCATACAACAATTGTATTTCGTGACAAAAACTCTAGTGTAAACGAGTTTAAAATTAAAAGAACCTACTTAAAGGGTTTCAGCAGCATGTCCTGTTGCCTGTTGTGTATTTCTCTTCTCTTTTATATTCTTTATTTGAACACAAACTTGGAAAATCGTAGTTTCTAATTATCTGAGTTGTGCCTCCATTTTGTTTATTTATGTACGTGGCCGGTCGGGGCGGGCAACAATTTTTCACTTGTTGCCCGGCGGGAAACATTGCATTTATCTGAAGTCACGTGACCACAAATCAGCCAATCACGTTTGGTGTTCACGGCTTCACGGTAGCTATTTAACTATACAGTTTATTCATATCTCATCTCATTCCCAAGTTATAGCCCTTTTTATATTTCGAGTTAGGACGTCACAGGTTGTGCTTGAGATAGAAGCAAATAGGATAAGGTCTAAGGCACGCCCATATACAGTATGTACCAAAATATAGTATTTCAGAGGTGCTTTGAGAAATGCCTGGTAACTTGGGAATGATATGAATAAACTGTAAAAGACATTCGTCACTATTTTGAACATACTCTGAAGTGATGGAATTAAAAATAGGGGCAAAATTTCATTTCATAAACACTTTCATCATTTACAGGATTTTACTGGTCGATTGGACGAAGCATTGGTGCGAAAGCTTGCCATTCGATGTTTGCGCAGAGGCATTGGTAGCATGGACTACATTGATACGTTGCTAATGATGGGGATGATCTGGACGAGAATCTGGAGGATGGTGATCTTGGTGAGTTTGGTGAATAATCAATGACAGGGGATGACAACAATGACCCACCCGAGCAAGGCTCATCCAGGGAACCCACAGGGGAGTCCACAAATAATAGTACATCAGATTGGTGTGTTTGTGGTAGATGCAGACCAATGCCCCAGGAATTCGAAAATAAGTGCTGCAAATTAAAAAATGCATAGCACTTACTTCATGTTTCACCAAGTTGTGTCTTGATCCTGATGTTCTAGAGTTATGTATCAAAAATAGAGCAGACATAAGAAATGACCATGAGGACAATATCACGAGGGCTTTCCGAAAAGCTGCCTAAAGGCAATTCATTCTTACACGCCATGGTCATCTGGTTAACGGGAGCAGACGAGTCTGCACTTCATGTGTTGTATTAAAATTAAGGGAACGTTTTCCATCTGTCACTGGAATTTACATGGGATTTAGGGAACACTGATATTTTGTATAATTAATAATACTGTATAACTTCATTTTATAGCATATCTAAATATATTTGTAAGCACAATAACAGTTGGTATATGTACAGTATAAAAAGTGAATGGAAAAGTATCTGACAATTCTATTACGAATCTGCTCCTCCTCTCCTCAATTTCCTTTGTAGGTGGTGG